TTTGATAGAGGCTGAGAGGTGTAAATTTGAGGTCAAAATAAAGCCCACAACACTGCCCTGCTTGAACAGAGTTAAGATGAAAAGATCCCAAAGTCCTCTGATGCCTCTGAAGGCAAGAGTACTTGGTAACATGCAGAGACTTCAGTGTTAGGACATTCATTCTAGTCCCCGCAGCTAATGGGCTAGCACAGAAAATGAATGGAAGTTGAGAGTACAGTCTATCAGTTACAACGGTTCTTTCTGATAGCAGGGAATAGCTCCAGTGACTTGCAGTAATTATGATTAACTCACCCTGGCTTTTTGGTGATGGTTCCAAGTTATCTGCTTAGTGAGCACCCATGATATGCACTGGGCCTGTGACTTCACTGTTATCGGGTGCTCCTGTAGGGGAATCACTGTAAGGAAACCTTCTCCACCAATGCAGATCAGTAGCTGAACTGTTCTGCAAATGAGCAATGAGGGGTTAAGTGACTAGGCCAGGGTCACAAAGCCAGGATATAAGCAGCCATCAGAGGCTGGACTTGACCGCATGTCTTCCCGACCCCAAAACTGGCTCTCCATCCACTATATCATACTGCCTCTCATAATAGCAGTGATTAAAACAAAACTTGGAGTCAGCACTAGCAAGAATCAGATTCCTCTCTGTATCATAAAACGTGCAATGATTACAGAGATGATGTTTTAATCTTATAACTAGCATAAACTATAACACATCATTACAACTTCTCACTGAACAAAGGGAATGCCCAGAACTACAATACATGTGGTCAGTGTAGTGGAAGAAAGCAGAAATAGCTTTAAATGGCTTGTGTCTATGTGTAGACACACTAAAAGTGTAATGTGAATTTTTGTAGACTAGACCTTGAAAGAGATGTCATAGTTTAGCAGAAAGATGCTTCATAGTTGTTGAAGTTGAAAGCAGAACAGACATGAGAGGATCTGGGTCCTAGCCTTGGCTTTTCCGAGGCCTTAGGACCTCGTACACATCCTATAACTTCTCTGCTTCAGTTAGCGCTCCATTAAAAAAAAAGAAAATAATAGCGTTCCTCCTTCTCCCCACACACAAACCACTCCACTCACAAAGATGCTCAAAAGATAATAGGACAATAATAACAATAATGTGTACTCCACTAAATACATACACTTCACTCACAAAGATACTCAAAGCATAATAACAATAGGGTAATACTAAGACAAAAGATATAAAAAGAATTTGTTCATACAAGTATTAAACAACTTAAAACTCATTATGATCATCCCCATACTAAGTCTTGAAGACAGCCAAATCAACTACTGGTATGACGCGACTTAAAATGGTAAAAAAAAGAAAACAAAAACAAAAAACAACAAACTACCAGGATGGATGGGTTCATTTTGGTCAGGATCAAAGCATTACTGTGCTTCCTCCGAATGTCCCTTTCTCTATTCCTGGTATTACTTTTCTCCCCTGTCACCTACACTTAAAGTCTTAGAGTTATCTTTGACTTTTCCCCTGAATCCTGACACCCAACAAGTTGGCAAGTCAGAACTTAATTAATTAATTAAATAATTAACTAAAGAACTTAATTCTTTGCTGTTGTTCAGTTGTGTCCGACCCTTCATGACCCTGTGGACCATACCATCCATGGTTGTTTCTTGGCAAAGATACTGGAGTGGTTTACCATTTCCTTCTCCAGCTCATTTTTTACAGATGAGGAAACTGAGGCAAACAGGGTTAAATGACTTGCCCAGGGTCACACAGCTGCTAGTAAGTGTCTGAGGCCAGATTTAAACTAAGGAAAATTGAGTCTTCCTGGCTCCACGCCCAGCACTATCCACTGCGCCACCTAGCTGTGAGTGTTACTATTGCTTTGAATTTATTTCTGATTCACAAAAAAGAACTGGTTAATGATGTGGGAAGGTTGGAAACCTCAGGAGAACCAGCCCTGTATTTTAGAAGCCTCAATTGAAATACATACATATGAACCCTCAGCTGTAGGAAAGTATATTTTAGCAATTTCAAAGCAAAAACAGGTATGATCCCATGACCAGCTACTCTAAGGCAATGGTTCTTAACCTGGAGTCTGCAGATCTCTAAGGGGTTTGTGTGTAGATTTCAGGGGTTCCATGAATTTGGATGGGAAAAAATTCATCTTTACTTTCTCTAACCTCTAAGTGAAATTTAGCATTTCCTTCAATGAGGAATGCGGGCAACATTATTCTGAGAAGGGATTCATAGACTTCATCAGATTACAAAAGGGGTCCATGATAAAAAATAAAAATTAGAAAGTTTAAGATCCCCTGCTCTGAGGTACATGGTTTAGAAGAGACAAGAAGTTATTTAAAAACAAACAGACACTGAATAACTGTCTAACCCGCAGCAAGTCATTTAACCTCTAACTGTCTCAGATTCCTCAACTGAAAAATAGGAATAATAGTAATAACTACCTTACATGGTTATTGTAAGGATCAAATGAGGTAATATTTGTAAAAACACTACAGTGCCCAGCACATAGTAGGTGTTACATAAATGCTTATTCTTCTCCTTCCCCCCACCCTCAGGGTGGTTAAGATTCTTGCTCAAGCTATGTGACCCTGGGCAAGTCACTTAACTCCGATTGCCTCCAAGAGAGGGAGAGAGAGAGACAGAGAAAGAAAGAGAGAGACAGAGATAGAGAGAGACTGACAAAGACAGAGAGAGAGAGAGAGAGGGAGACTCGCTCAAGGTCACACAGGCAGGATTTCAAGCCAAGTCTTCAGTCTCCAGAGCCCTTGCTCTTCCCATTGCGCTACATGAATCTGTAAGATTCCGTAAATCTATGGTCTGCAAAGAATTTAAAAACTGAGGATGTAAAATAATGGTTTCCTGAAATGGAGGAAAATGACTGTGACAAAGGCTATGGAAATTAAAATAAGTCCTAATTCTATTGCAGGTTTTTTTTTTTTGGAAGTAAAAGCAGATTGTTTAACCAAGACTTACCCAACAACTAACCTTTGGGCACACTGAGAAAAATGTCACTCCCTAGGCATCCAACTGCACATCTGTCATATGCTTTTTTCTTGGAATAAAGGAACAAAATTCTTTCTCTCTAGATGCTGCTTATCCAAAACTTGGCTACCCTCAAGTAGTATGGCAGCAACATCACTTCTCTTGTGGGTACAGGGTTGACCAAATATTGATCTCATTCTTTATATAGCCTCAGCAAGTACTCGGGGAAGAGATTTTGTATCACTAAAACAGGAGGTACTAATAACAACATTTTCATTCCTGCAAGACTTGTTCTTACTCTTCTGGGCTCTGCATTCTAGGAAAGTCAGCTCTGCCTAACACTAAGCAGAAATGGAAGCAAAGTTGTTTCTCAGTCTCAAGGAAAGCAATCAATACTCATTTATCAAACACTATATGCTAGACACTGCACCATGTGAGCATTAAATCAAGACAAAAAAGATCGAGTCACTACCCTATCTCCACCTCTGGGCTTCTTGGTTTCCTTGTAGTCCCAGCTAAAATCCACCTTCTAAAAGAAACTTTTCCCACCCCCTTTAATGTTAGTGCCTTCCCTCTGCTGATTACATCCAATGTGTCCTGCCCATATCTTGTGGTATGTAGCTGTCTGTATGTTGTCTCCCCCATTAGACTGTGAGCTCCTTGAGGGCAGGAAGTGAGTTTTTTTTGTATCCCCAGTGCTTAGCACAGTGCCTGGCACATAGTAGGTGCTTTAAATGTTTTTTGACTTTGTGGACTAAGGAGTTTATATTCTCTTGGGAAAAACAATACCTACATAGGAAAAAAAAATGTGATTTCATGAATATAGGGAACTCCTTCCTCTACCAATGAATGTCAGTACTTTCTCTGTAACTTATAATCTTAGAGAGTTGTCTAGACCAGTAGTGTAAAATTCAAATAGAAATGAGGCCCCTAACCCATACATAAGGATCTCTATGGCTGCATATTGACTTAGAAAACCACATACTAACATTATGTTCAATTATATTTTCATTTTGTTAAATATTTCCCAAATACTTTCTTCTTCTAGCTCAGGCCACACTTGGAAGTGGTACTGGCACATGTCTGACACTTTCTTCTTCTTCTTTTTTTTGGGGGGGCTAGGCAATGAGGTTAAGTGACCTGCCCCAGGGTCACATAGCTAGTAAGTGTTATGTATCTGAGGCCAGATTTGAATTCAGGTCCTCCTGAATCCAAGGTTGGTGCTCTATCCACTGCGTCACCTAGCTGCCTCCATGTCTGACACTTTCTAGTGACATGCTGAATGTCACAAAACAAGCACATGTCAGAGAAGGGACTTGACCTCAGGCCTTCCCTGGCTCTGAGTCCGGTGCTCTATCCATTAGGACAGGGAAATGTCATGTAGACAAAGTAAATTCAAGGTAATTTCAGAGGGGAGCCCTGATGACTGGGGTTGGGGAGGATCTGGAAAAGCTCTCATTTAGGAAGTGTCATTTGAGGTGTATTTTGAAGAAAAGTAGGGATTCTACGAGACCAAGGTGAGGAAGGACTGGGGATGATAACCTGTGCAAAATCATGGAGATGAGAGAAGGAGTATCACATATGAGGAACAACTAGTTAACTTGGCTGGAATGCAGTCTTTAGTCACTGTGAAAGGCTTTAAAAACCAACCAGTGAATTTGTGTTTTATCCTGGAGGCAATGGGGAACCACTAGAGGTTTTGAAGCAGGGCAATGTCATGGTTAGATCTGTGCTTTAAGAGTATTACTGTGGCAGTTAAGACTCCTGAAATGGAATTCAGGCTTCTTAGCGAGAACAAAAACCTCTTGTGTGTCTAGAGTCTCTCTATGTCTCATCTTTTCTCTGTCCTGTCTTGTGGTAAGTATTGACGGGAGTTGGCCTTCTCTACTTAAGATTAAATATCTTTTTCAACCCTTATTTCCCTTGTTTTAGTCCAGTTCTGTAGGAGAATCAGCTCATCACTATCCATAGTGTTAATTAAGCCTATTTTGTAACACTGAATCATCTCAGGAAAGAAGATTAGCTTACTCACCAGAGAGGAAATATACCAAGTCTTGTGGTGATGAAGACGATTGCAAACATGACAAACATTAGGTCACACAGTTTTTGAAACTTGGCATAATTTGCCATTTTGGCAGCCTGTAGGTAGAAGAAATGTGACATTAATTTAGTGGTACTGGCAAATGAAAAGCTTCTATCAATATGCATAGACTTTTCCCAAGCCACAACTGACCAGCTGCATCATAATGCAGATGAATTTGAAGTGCCAGGCATCAATATTTATAAACCATCCACGGTTTATAGGAGATATCAGTCATCATAAATGAATATACTGATTCATTCAAATGATACATATTCTGTCACATAGAAAAAGTTCAATCATAAGGTTGAGTTAAGATAAGGAGGAAGGGGACATTCTTGCTGATATGGTAATGTATGATGTTATTGCTTTGTGGCATCAGAGATGTTGGATAATCCCATTAAAAAATAATGGAGATCCAAGTACTAAAGTTATCCAACACTATCTGGAATCTTTGGGCTTTATTGTCTCTGACCATTTCAACTTAAATGTTTGCTTGTCCTTTTATGGGTACAGTGATTATAGTCTGGGAATATGCTCCCTGACTTGTTATCATAAACTTTGAAACAAAGAACAAAAAGCCAAAATCATGTCATGAATCTCTCACAAGTCAATTAGTTAAATTAACTTCAACATTATTTCCTTTTAAAAGGAAGGTTCACCAATGCTGGAAGTGACTGATGGTGAGATGCACTCTAATAATTTAAGGGCACTTTCACTCTGCAAGTCAGCCTATACATGGAGATGATAGAGATGCCTTAATCTTGCATTCCCTAAGTTCATCCATTTTGTGAAAAATTCATTGATGATCTAGATTAAACTATTATCTAAACATTCTACTTCCCTCCTACATATTTGTGCAAAAGCATAAAATGCATTCTCTTCTCATCTCGACCTCTCAAAACTCATACCTTCTTTCAAGGCAGGTCAGAGGCTACCTCATCCATTGAGCCTTGTCTGATCCTACCAGTCATTAGCATTCTTTGACACTTCAAATTTTCTGATATAACTCACATATATAAATATATATATACAGATACACATATGTATATATATATGTGTGTGTATATCTATATCTATATCTATAGATTTCCCAGTAGAATGTAAACTACTAGCACAAAACCTTGCTTATAGTGCTTCATAAGCATTAGCTGTTGTTAGTCAAACACTTCTGAAATAGTTAAATATCTCAAGGTAAAAGTGGTGAGGCACATAAAACAATGAATGGTATATCTAGGACACATTCCTGCATGTTACAAAGAGATCTTCAGGGATGTGAATGCAGCGCTACATACCCAAGGTACCAATAAACTTATGATATCATCCTCCATTTTGTAGAGGGCTGCCATTAGCTGAATTCATACTCAAAGGCTTGTTGATAGTATTTACATGGGTTGGCAAACAAGTGCAGTGCACAGTATTTATTTTTAACTCTAGCACTTAAAGTGCTATGATTTCTCTGCTTTGAGTGAAACACAAAGGGATGAGAGAACTGCACAGGCCAGAGGAAATACTTATTAATGAAATGGCACCTAAGTAAATGAACTACTGATTTGCTGAATGACTTGTTTCTGTTCCAAGAAAGACAGTGAGAATTAGAATTCTTTAAATTGAATGAAAAAATAAAAAGGCAACTTACTGTTTATTTCTGACCTAACCAAAACACAGAATCTCTCATGTCTTATAAAGCAAGTGGATTTTCCAGAGTACCTTTTTATACGTCCAATGCCCATGCTGGCCATGAAGTCTACTTCTTTTTAGACAGTATTCAACCTGCCCCTATTTCCTTTCCTAGATAAAAACAGAAGATTGCATAAAGAGGATTTCAAGGCTGCAAGCTGCTGCCTGATTTCCCATCTCTAAGGGCACTGAGGTTTTAACCAAATATCGACTGATTTTAAAAGAACTATTCTTGGGCTTATTTCTTCCCTCGTAAAACATTGTTCTGAATATATTTTATTTTGGATTATTATCCAACAGAACCATTAGCACAGGCATCTATCCTATTAGAACCATTTTCTTTTATAAATCATAGGATTGTAGATCTGGAGTTAACAGGGACTTCTGAGGCCGTCCAGTTCAATTTTCTGATTTTACAAAGGAGGAAACTGAGGCCCAGGGAAGATGAATGACTTTTCCAAGACTGGTAGTAAGCATTAGATGTGGAATTTAAACTCTGACCTTCTGACTCCGGCACCAGCACTCTTCCTTGTACCACAAATCATCTAGATTAAATTCTTTACTAAAGCATGATATATTTTTCAAGTTCTGAAACACTGTCTTTATCATAGAGTCATTCCCTAGAATTTCATCTCTATATTATTTTATATATTATATGTATATATTAAATATTTTATATATTATATATTTTATATCATTTGAGTCATGTTTAATAGGGCTTGGGACCACTTTCTGTGGCATTTGTAGTATCACAGCTAGTAGGAATTCATCAATAGAATGTAGATTTTAAGGTATATTGGGTCTATCCAACTGAAATCTGAACTGAGGTACACTGATTTTTTTCCTCATTAGGAAATCTTCAATATCATGTTAAAAATGAAGTATTTAATTCACTAATAAAACAAATTGAGTCTGTACTCTAGGAATTAAGAACAAGGATTGTATCTGAACACTGAGAGGCAGCAGGTACAGTGGATTTGGAGGGTTCAAATCCCCTCTCTCCTACTTGCTACCTACCCAACCTTGGACAAATCACTTTGTTTCTCTGGGCCCCAATTTTTTTTATTTGTAAAATGAGAGGCTAGGTTAAAAGGTCATTGAAGTTCCTTCCTGCATTAAATTTGTGATCCTAGGAATTATTCAGCAGATATTAGAGATAAATACCACGCCTTCGGAGGAAAAAAAAACCAAAAACAAAAAACCTCCACTAAATTATTCCTGTTTAACAGTGTGAATACCCAATGGATGTTGCTGTCATGTATGTTTGTGTGAGTTATAAACTAATATCCTCCCAGATATTTTTCATAATATGAACAGGATATATTACTTTGGGGGTGCCTCACTTCCAATATTTACATACACTTCGCTGCTTCAGTATACATCATACTCTGAATACTACAAGTTGATATTTAAATAGGTAATAAGAACTATAAGCATTATATAATCCTTTCTATGCATAGCACCCCCTTTAAAAACTGAGAGAAAGGGGATTGAAAAAGAAATGTTGAGAGCATCACAGTTTATAATACATTGTTATACTAAAGGAAACAAAGCCTAGTCAATTATGAGCAGGAAAATAATAAAAAAAATTATGAATAGGAAACCATAATTATGATTTCCCCATTGCAATATCTTTTAATAACAAGGGTGGAATAGTAAAAAAAAGTTTCATTACACTTTTAATAAAGAACCCTAACATGATAAAATATTTATCGCATAAAGCTTTTTATTCACTAAATTATAGATGCATTTGTTTAAACTGATAAGGAAATGCTCTGAAGCTTCAAAGCAAGAATTACTTGTAATTACAATATTCTCCAAAATGCCAGTTTATCACAATACAGAATAACTATGGCTTCCTTGGCAGGCTTACTGACTTAGGTGCTTTGCAATGTTAAAAGATGACCAAGGGCTCTCACCTCCAGCAGGGCATCAGCTGCATCATGGAGACACATGACCAGGGTCCCCACTCGGGCCATATTGTTGACATATGAAAAGGTGATCAAGGAGATGGTTGCAAGATGATGCAGGAACATAATAACAAAGTCCTTTAGGAGAAAAAAAAAACACATTGATATTAGCAACAACATAGTATTCCCATGTTCATCTAATGTGTTGAATCATGCTATGCTCAGTACAAGGTTCACTTTAATATTCCTAGAATTTATAACACTCCCAGGGGTCTTGAATGCCCTGAGCAGGATAAATTGCATGCAAAGTATATACAAAGTAAGGGGATATATAAAATAAGGAAGCAAAGGTTTTGTGAACATTCTCCAATTCTAACTCGATGAGTCAAACTGCATCATCTTCAAAGTAATATGCCTTATTTATATTAAGAAAAATCGCTGTGGGGGTTGAGTGAAAAGAGTGTTGGATTTGGACTGGGAAAGCCTAGGTTTGAATCTCAGATCTGACGTGAATTGTCTCTTTGGCCTGAGGCTAACCAATTTATCTCACTGAGGCTTAGTCTACTCATTTGTAAAATGAGGCTGCTGTTAGACTGTGTGGTCTCTTTTGGCTCTAATATTCTGTGACTCTCCTCTCCTCTTTCTATATACTTTGTTGGTTTCATTAATTCTCATGGATTCTTCTATCATCTATGCAGATAACACAAATCTACAAACTCAACCCCTATCTCTCCTGAGCTCCAATTTCTTACCTTCCTGTCTCACAAATGCTGGCTTAACAATTCCACTTGGACATAGAAGGCATGTTGGATGTGTGCACTTCTCTGAAACTCAATACGTGCAAACCAGAATTCATCACCTTTCTTCCTATACCTTAGCTGTCTCCTAACATTCCTTTATGTGCTGAGAGGAGCACCATTCTTTTCAGCACTCAGGTGCAACCTGGGTCATCCTTGTCTTTTCAATCTCAAACATTCTTATACCTGATTAATTGCCAATACTTGTCCATTCTACCTCCTCAACATCTCTCAGATCCTATACCTTCTCTCTACTTGGAGGGCTTAAAATATGACATTCTGGAGGGCAAAGGGGTTAGGAGTACAAACAAAAATCACCTCCCCAGCAAAACTGAATATAATCCTTCAGAAGGAAAAACGGATATTCAATGAAATAGAAGACTTTCAAGTATTCTTGATGAAAAGCCCAGAGCTGAATAGAAAATTTGACTTTCAAATACAAGACTCAAGAGAAGCATAAAAAGGTAAACAGGAAAGGGAAATCATAAGGAACTTAATAAGGTTCAACTGTTTATACTCCTACATGGGAAGATTATACCTGTAACTCATAAGAACTTTCTCATTATTAGGGCAGTTAGAAGGATTATATATAAACAGAGGGCACAGGTGTGAGTTGAATATGAAGGGATGGTATCTAAAAAACAAAATTAAGGAGTGAGAGAGAGGAATGTACTAAGAGAAAAGGAAAGGGAGAGGTAGAATGGAGTAAATTATCTCACATAAAAGGCAAGAAAAAGCTTTTACAGTAGAGAGGAAGATGGGAAAGGTAGGGGAGGGGTGAGTAAACCTTACTGTCTCAGAATTGGCTCAGAATAATATACACACTCAATTATGTATAGGAATATATCTCACCCTATAGGAAAATAGGAAGGGAAGGGGATAAGAAAAGGAGTGGATAGAAGAAATGGGATAATCAGAAGCAAAACACTTTTGAGAAGGGACAGCGTGAAAGGAAAGAGAAAATTGAATAAATGGAAAGGGGAAAGAGGATGGAGGGAAATACATTTAGTAATCATAACTGTGAAAAAAATTTTGAAGCAAGTTTCTCTGACAAAGGCCTCATTTCTCAAATATATAGAGAACTGAGTCAAATTTATAAAAATAAGAGCCATTCCCCAAATGATAAATGATCAAGAGATACAAAGTTTTCAGATGGAGTAATCAGTATAGCCATATGAGAAGGTGCTCTAAATTCCTATTGATTAGATGAATGTAAATTGAAACAACCTGAGGTACTACCTCATACCTATTAGATTGGCTAATAGGACAGAAAAGGAGAGTGACAAATGTTGGAGGGGATGTGGGAAAAATGAAACATTAATGCACTGTTGGTGGAGTTCTGAACTGATTCAACCATTTCTTTTTTTTTTTTTAAATTTTCACATTAGTCATGTTGTAAAGAAGAATTAGAACCAATGGGAAAAAACCATGACAAAGAAGAAACAACAAGAAGAAAAAAAGAGAGCAAATGGTATGCTTCGATCTGCATTCAGACTCCATAGTTCTTTTTCTGGATATGGATAGTATTTTCCATCATGAGTCTTTTGGAGTTGTCTTAGATCACTGCATTGCTGAGAAGAGTTAAGTCTATCAAAGTTAGTTATCACACAATGCTGCTGTTACTGTGTACAATATTCTGCTGGTTCTGCTCATTTCACTCAGTATCAGTTCATGTATGTCTCTCCAGGCTTTTCTGAAGTCTACCTGCTCATCATTTCTTATGGAACAATAGTATTCCATCATATTCATATACCACAACTTGTTCAGCCATGCCCCAATTTATGGCCATCCCCTCAACTTTCAATTCTTGGCCAGTACAAAAAGAGCTGCTATAAACATGATTCAATCATTCTTTAGAGCAATTTGGAACTATGCCCAAAGAGCTATAAAACCATGCATACCCTATGTCCTAGCAGTGCCACTACTACGTCTGTATCCATAAAGGAAAAGGACCTATATGTATGGAAATATTTATAACAGCTCTTTTCTGGTGGCAGGGAGTTGGAAATTTGGAGGATGCCGATCAATTGGAGAATGGCTGAATAAATTATGCTATGTGATTGTGATGGAATAGTATTGTGCTATAAGAAATGATGAACAGGATGCTCTCAAAAAAAAAAAAAGCCTGGAAAGACTTATGGGAGCTGATGCAAAGTGAAATGTACTGTGTACAAAGTAACAGCAATATTGTGCGATGATCAGCTGTGAAATGACTTAGCTATTCTCAGCAAAACAGTGATCCAAGACAACTCTGAAGGACTTATGATGAAAAATGATATCCATCTCCAGACAAAGAACTGATGGTGTCTGAATACAGATTGAGTCACCCTTTTTTTTTTTTTACTTTCTTTACTTTTTGAGGGTTTTTTTTTTTTTGGTCTATGTTTTCTTTCACAACATGACTAATATGGAAATACATTTTGCATGTCTACATATGTATAACCTATATTGAATTACTTAACTTCTCAATGAGGGGGATAGGGCAGGAGGAAGGGAAGAATTTAGAACACAAAGTTTTAAAAACAAATGTTAAAGATGATTTTTATATGTAATAGGGGAAAAATAAAGTACTAAATCATTTTTTAAAAAGTTAGGCTGACATTGTGTGATGACTGACTTTGATAGACTTAGCTCTTCTCAGCAATGCAAGGATCTAAGACAACTCTAAAAGACTCATGATGGAAAATGCTATCCACATCCACAGAAAGAACTCTGGAGGCTGAATGCAGATGGAAGCATACGATTTGCTCTCTCATTCTTTTATTGTTTCATTTTGTTTCTTCTTTCTTGTGGTTCCTCCCATTAGTTCTAATTCTTCTTTACATCATGACTGATGTGAAAATATTCTTAATATGAATGTATAAGTGGAGGCTGTATAAGATTACACGCCCTCTTGGGGAGGGGGAAAGGGAAAGAGGGGCAGAAAATTTAAAACTCAAAATCTTATGGAAGTATATGTTGAAAACTAAAAATAAATTAAGTATTAAAAAAAGGAAAAAAGCTAGGCTGCTACAGAGGCTTTTGTTCACATTTTAAAATGCACCTTTTTTGTTGTACCTCTAAAAGACTACAGGATAAAGGAGGTGCTCTTGAATTCATTTATTTAGCAGCAGCATCCTTTCACTGGGAAGTTAATGACAATTCATTAGCAGCACATTCTGGACTACAAAATTCAGTGCTACAACCATATCCGCAGAACATTTGACCAAAGTGGATTTGGCCGATGGAGTGTCACAATAACAACAGCTCTTTAAAAAAGCTGAAAAGGTAGGGGGGAGGCAAAAGGAGAAGCAAGGAGAGTGAGACACTGTTTGAAATAATCTCAGGCATTCTTGTTTGCCCAAGCTTAACGTACACATTTTTAAGTCCCATCAGCGCAGTAGCTAATCAAAATATTTCCCACAACTCCCATTGTTCAGTTGAGGATGCCTGCTTTTGGCTGCTTGAAAAATAAAAGAATTTATCCTGCTCTTTAATTTAGAATGAATAAATATAAATTGATTAAAACATTCACTGAACTTAGAAATCATGTTGTAATTATGTTTCCTTGTTTATAGCTGATAAACATCAGTAAACAATGCAAAGCTCATGGCAATAAAGTTCCTATAAAAGCATGGTTTTTAGACACTGTACACATAGTGCCTGCAAACACAAATCCATAGATACTAGATTACAAGTGACTTTAGCATCTAAGTCCCCAGGCACTGAAATCAATTTTTTTTTTTACATTATTGGAGGGGTTCTGGGAGGGGGCAGACTCAAAGATTCGCCTGCACCAGGAATTCCATTTTCAGTACCAAGATCTATCAATGTGAATTAGGAAAAATAAAACAAATAAAGATTTTAGAACATTAGGCTCCTTAAGGGGGCATCACACAATGAAATATAATTTCTAAGGAACTTGCTCTTCCACATTTACATGCACTCAGCCCCCAATTCCTTACCCTCTCCACCCTCTCTCATAACTCTTGTATGCATTAGTTTGGTTAAATACTGCACTTGATTGAAATTACAGTCTTAAAGCAAATTGTTAGTTTGAATCCTACAAAACTAGAAGAGTAAGATGCAGTCTTTCCAGCCTAATAGCAGGTAACATCATGAAAAATGAGTAGTGTGTGCAAATATGCAGGGTGTGGTTGAAGAACTCTGTAAATGTCTGGGTCCATATTTGAACTCATGTCTTCCTCCCTCCAGGTCAAGCACTCTAGCCACCATTCCTCCTATCTGCTTCTAATAGATCATCAATCAATTCAGAGAGCAAAAGGGAGCTTTTGCACAGCTTAAAATGACTCTAATCTATTTCTGCAAAGCACAGTAATAGTATAAAAATTTAGAATCTTT